TTCTTTTCTTTTCTTTTTTTTAATTCTGGGCCAGCTTTAGCTCTGAGGCTCCAGCTCTGAGGCCTCCGCTGCTGAAAGTAAGTATCTAGTTTGTTTCGATTCTATTCGAAACTCTGTATCAACTCCAGCTCTGAGATCCCAGGCTCCCTGAAAGCTGGTTTCTGGGGTTTTTTTTTAGCTTCTATACTTGTAATGTTTCTTAAACTGCCGGCTCAGAGGTCTGCAGCCGCAGGCGGGGAACGTTGCTTTCCTCTGTCACTGAAGCAAGCAAGCCTCATGTTAGTTTCAAGCTGCCTTGCTGCCAGCCGCCATCTTGGCTGTCAGTTAATTTGCATATCTTGCTGATTAGCCAATGGGAAGTGTAGCGGTCGTATGCCAATTACCATGTTTCTCTTTTATTAATGTAGATATATAGATGGGAACAAGACAGGGATCCACTTTCACCGTTCTTATTCAAAATAGTATTGAAAGTCCTAGGCACATCAGTCAGTCAAGAAGAAATGAAAGGCATCTAAATTGGAAAGAAAGAAGTAAAACGGTCATTGTTTGCAGATGACATGATACTGTATATAGAGAAGTGATAAATTCAGTAAGGTAGGGGGATACAAAATAAGTACTCATAAACTGGTTGCATTTGTACACCAATAATGAACTCTCAGAAAGGGAAACTGAAAGAAAATAATCCCACTTACAATTGCATCAAAAATATAAACTCTCTAGGAATAAATTTAATCAAGGGGGTAAACACCTGTATCTAGAAAATTAGAAGACATTGAAGGAAAAAATTAAAGAAGATGCAAATAAATGAAAATATATACCATTTTCTTTTATAAGGAGAATTAACATCATTAAAATGTCCATACTATCCAAGGCAATCTATAGATTCAGTGAAATGCCTATTAAAATACCAGTGGCATTTTTCACAGAACTAGAAAAAAATAACCAAAAATTTGTGTGGAAACACAAAAGACACTGAATAGTGGCAGCAATCTTGAAAAAGAACGAAAGTGGGAGGAATAATTATTCCTGGTGTCAAAGAAGGCCATAGTAATCAAAAAAGCATGGTGGTAGCATAAAAACAGACATATAGAAAATAGAACAGAGAGCCAAGATATAAACCCACACTTATATGATTGACTAACATATAACAAAGGAGGCAAAACCATACAAAGGTGGAAAGACAGTCTATTCAATAAATGATGTGGGAAAATTGAACAGATACATGCAAAAAGTGAAACTAGACCAGCTTCCTGCACCATAAATAAAATCAACTCAAAATAGATAAAAGACTTAAATATAAGCTTTAAAATCAGGAAATTTCTAAAACAAAATATGGGTGAAAAACTCAGCCATTACTCTTAGCATTTTTTCTGATATATATTCTTAGGCAAGGGAAACAAAGGAAAAAATAAACGAAGGAGACTACATCAAACTAAAAAGGTTGTACAGGAGAAGAAACCACACACACACACACACACACACACATAGCCAACCTATTGAATAGGAGAAGATATTTGCCTTAGGTACATTTGGAAGGGAGTTAATATTCAAAATTTATAAATAATTAATAAAACTCAACTCCAAATAAACTAGCAATTGATTAGAAAGTGGACAGAGAACCCGAATAGACACTTTTACAAATAGTACATGCAGATTGCCAATAAACATGTGAGAAGATGCTCAATGTCACTTATTATGAGAGAATTGCAAATTGAAACCACAATGGGAGCCCTAACTGGTTTGGCTCTGTGGATAAAGCATCGGCTTTCAGACTGAAGGGTCTTGGGTTTGATCCTGCTTTCAACTGGCCGTGGCCATGGAGCTGGAGCAAGCAGGAGGCTTGGGTTGCCCCTGGCAATGGAGGAAGCTGAGCTTCCCGCCCAGCCTGGCCAGCTCTGAGCTCCACTCAAGGCTACAAAGTTTCAATTATAGAAGGTAAATAAATCCCAGAATAAAAAAGGAAAGAAAAAAAGAAGAGGCTGGGAGCTTCTGTTGCTGGGGGCAGGGGGCTTGGCCAGCCTGAAAACGGCCCTCAGCCCCTCACCCAGACTGGCCAAACCTCCATAGGTTGAGGGTCCCCATGGGGGGAGGCTTGACCAGCCTGCAAACAGCCATCAGCCCCTCACCCAGGCTGGCCAGGCACCTCAGTGAGTATTCCCATCCTGAAGGGGG